TGATGATGATGATGATGATGATGATGATGATGATGATGATGATGGCTACCAGCCTCACAGGCACCAAAGGCACAGGCGTGAAGATGAGGAGGAGGTCTCAGATGAGTCCCACCACCACGTCACCAGCCACAAGCACCAAGGTCATGGAGACGAGGAGGATGGGGATGTGTCCGCTGAACATTGGCACCAGGTCCCCAGACATACCCACCATGGAAATGAGCAGAGAGAGGAGGAGGAAGAGGAGGAGGAGGGGATCATGGTCAGGTTCAGCCGCCAAGTTCCAAGCCACCAACCTCAAGGTCACAAGAGTGAGGAAGAGGAAGAGGGTTTCCCAGATGAACCTAACGAAGCAGTCCCTGGCCATCACCACAGAGTCCCCAGAGAGGAAGCTGAAGACATCTCGGCCGAGTTTGGTCATCGGGTCCGCAGCCATGGTCACAGAGGGTCCATCCAAGAGGAGCTGAGCCCCCAGCGGCTAGTACGCACAGGGCTCAAGGACACAGGCCCTGGAACAGAGAGCGATTCTGAAGAGGAGGTGGAGGGCAAGGAAGACCAGCGTTCCCAGGAAGAAGATGAGGATGATTCGGAGCAGAGAGAGGAAGGTGTCCGTCACATCAGACTGGACCCGGGGGATGACGAGGAGGAGGAGGAGGAAGGCCATGGCCTGAGCCTGAGCCCGGAGGAGGACGGAGAGGAGGTGGGAGATGACGAGGAAGAAAGAGGCCAGCAGCAGCAGGAGGAAGAGGAGGAGGAGGAAGGGCTGGAAGAAGATGAGCTTCCCTTTACCATCATCCCCAACCCACTGGTCAGTCGGGAGATGGCTGGAGGTGCTTCCAGTGAGGAAGAGAGTAGGGAGGACACAGGTGAGTGGCCTGGGCCAGGTGGGGGTGAGGAAGAGAAGGGTCAGTCATCTGGGTCACTGCTGCCCTCCTGTCCCTATAGGTCCACAAGATGTCCAGGAGTATGAGAACTACCAGCCAGGGTCCCTGTGTGGTTACTGTGCCTTCTGCAAGGTATATGCCCCCCAACCCAGAGTGACCTGCCACACTGCCCCTGCCATTTGCCCCAGGCGCCCTTGGAGACTAGGCAAGGGACAGGGCAGGAACGTTCTGGAGGTAGAAAGAGGTTTCTGGGGCCAAGCTAGGGCCAAGCTGGAAGCCAGCAGGCTCGGGTGGTGGTCTCGGCACAGCTAGGGCTGTGGGGTTGGAGTAGAAAGTCCTAGACCAGGAGTGGGAGGGGAAGGGAATCACCCAGAACTTGCCCGGCTGAGAACAGAGGGGAAGGGCAAGGTTCCGCCCAGCAATGGGAAGGTATGGGGGTCCTACCTAGAAAGGGAGCCTGGAGTGGGTTTGGGGAGCAGACTCTCAGCTCATTGTGGGAAGTAACAAGCATGAGGAGGTCAGAGAAACTGAGGGGGGGGGGAATAGGTTGTGTCTTCCACAAGGGGTTAGGGTTTGGGCCTCACCAGGCTCCTCCCATCCCCAGCGATGCACCGAATGCGAGAACTGTCATTGCGACGAGGAGAACATGGGCGAACACTGTGACCAGTGCCAGGTGAGACCCCCCGCTCAAAACGCCATCCAGGAGTCCCATCTGAGGACCCTGAACTCTGATCCCAAATGGACCTAAACCCGCTCTGCGGCAGCACGCTGCAGACTTGACTTCACCCCCAATCCGGAGCCGAGCGCTGAGCTTGGCCCCGCCCCGTGACCACGCCCCCGCGCGTGACCACGCCTCCCTGCTGACTCCCTCTCTCCATTCCCCCTCAGCACTGCCAATTCTGCTACCTCTGCCCTCTGGTCTGTGAAACCGTCTGCACGCCAGGTAAAGGCGGGCGGAGAAAACCCGGAGCAAGGGTGCCCCTGCACTGGTGCAGCCGGGGCGAGGCGGGGGGGGCGTGGACAAAACTGGGCAGGGGTGGGAGGGGGGGGTGAGCCCGAAGGGGCGGGGCCTGGACGAAAGAAAGCTAATGGAGACCCGAGGTGATGGGGAACCAAGCCAAACCAAGGGGCAGGGCTAAGTGGAGAAGGGGCTCGCCCAGAGCTAGGAGGAAGGGGCGGGGCTGTAGAGGAGTTCCAATAGAATTTTAGCCTGGGGGATGGATTAGAAAAAGGGGTGGGGCCAGCCCTGATCCCAGCTCTTGGTGAAGAGTGGCTTCTCTCTCGCAGGAAGCTACGCGGACTATTTCTCCTCTTCCTTATACCAGTAAGTGTGTGTCGTTGTTGGTGGGGTGGGGGTTGGCTTAAGGGGCTTTTCCACCTGGAACTGAGTCTGAACGTTACTGGACTTACTGGCTTTATTGGACTCTGGTGCACTCTATCCGGGTTAACGGTCTCTGTGCGCCCTCGGGTTGGCTTTGGACCTTCTGGCTGGTCTATCTGACCTCTTGGTCCTCCCTGCAGAGCCCTGGCCGACCTGTTGGAAACTCCGGAACCTTGACCCTGCCGCAGCGCAGCATCCCTTCCCCGCCAAGAGCCCCCTTCCAGAGTCATATTTATTTCTCTGAATAAACGTGCCCCCCCCCCGAACCCTATCACGCGCGGGGTCTGCATGCTCGGGACGAAGACGACGAGGAGGTCTCGGATGAACACCACTACCATGTCGCCAGCCACAAGCACCAACCCCGTGAGGGAGAAGAAGAAGAAGAAGATGATGATGATGATGATGATGATGATGATGATGATGGCTACCAG